TTATTCTTATTATTATATATTTTGTAGCGGTTTACCTCAGCAAGATAGGGATATTGCTCCAAGTTATGGACTAAATAATTATTTTGGTCAATCCTCACACTCTGAAATGACGAAAAATGTTGGAACATCCTCAAATTTTCATGTCTCGCCTACTTTTGAGGCAGATGATTATCGATATGTCTAACACTTGTTTTTTTATTTGAGTAAGTTAATTGCATGAGCCAAATATTTATATTTTTTTTACATATATAGGGAAAATACTACACAAGATGAGCCCATTGATCCCGTGAATATCGATGATCGTGACCTTCCTAATTACGGCTCACCTTCCTAATTGGTGCAAAAATAGTCAAACAATAACATCCACCATGTGGGAAAATTATGGAAGATTTGTTGATATTTTTTCAAAAAGAAAAAAATCAGAAAATGTTTCAACTTAAAGCTAGACAGAAAGATGAATTTTTGTGTACTTTATGACATAGATTCATTTATTTTGTCTTATATTTTACGATATTCTGCCTCTTAATTTATTTTATTTTATTTTCATATGATTTTGACGTAGTGTAACTATTGAAACTTTTATAGGATGTGTAAACCTAAAGTTTTCTATCAACGAATTTAGATGTCTTCCTAACCAAAACTAAATTAAGTCTAAGGTTGAAAGTAAATCAAACCAAAAGCACATTCTAAAAAAGATAAAATTTTTCTACAAGTACAAGGCTGCAATCTTACTTATTTTTGCACCAAAAGCAACGAATATGAGTTGTATGTTGTCAGGTTGTGCTACTCCAAAATTTCAATTTGTTTAGTGTGGGACGGCTTCAAATTGTCGGATTGGGACCATCTTCAAAGTGAATTTTTTTTGGAAGCCATGAAAAGGAAAGGGAGAGAAGGTGAAGATGAAAAGGTAACTTTTTACAAAGTGGGAGAAAATTTTTATAAAATGGAAGATTTTCTTCCACTTTATAAAGTAGAATAAAAAGTTCCACTTTATAAAGTGGAAGAAAAAGTTTCGTTATATATTAAAAAGTAAACGTTATGGCAGTAACAGAAAACGTTTAGAAAATTGAATATAGTGAAACTTTTTCTTCCACTAAGCTTATTTTAGTTACTTACTAAAATAGTGACTTATTTTAGTTACTTTTATATTTTTGTGGCTTATTTTGGTTCCCAACTCTTATAAACCCTATAACATACTTTTCAACAATGAAATTTGAAGTATTTTTGTAACGAATGTAGCAACTTATTATATCTTGCATGTCATTTTCATGTAGGCAAAGTTTACTTTCTAAAAAATTGAACAATTGGTAATCGCATTACAACAAATTAGACGAGACATGACAAGTTGTTAGATAGTAATCGTTCTCCACCTCGAACTCTAATATTGTGAGTTCGAGTCTGAAATAATTACTTTTTTCGTTTAAAAAAGAATGATTCTATTTACTTTTTAGATTTAGATTGATTCAATTTTCTTTTTAGTTTGTTTAAAAAAGAATGACCCTTTTATTTTTTTGACAACAATTTAACTTTAACTTTTCACATGGCATGTTTAAGACTACAAGATTAAAAGACATTTTCATACTTTCAATTTAACTTTAATTTAAAATTACAAGATTAAATTTTTTTTAAAACTCCGTTTCAAGTCAAATTAGGACACTTTTTTTTTAAACGGAGGAAATATTTGAATCTCTTTTTGGAATTGAGGGTGTGTGTGCATTTTTTTCTTCTTTTCTCGGTCACAGCTCCCTCCCACTGTTCTCTCCACTTATAAATAGTTGTGGCTTTAATTTTACAGAGCACAACACTGTCTGCAATATATCTTCCTTCCTCACGCCGTGTTTCTAATAGAATGGCGGAGCTAAGAAACTTTCCGAGTCTAAGCATTTTAAGTTTAATGGCATTACTCATCTTAGCAGTGGAGCAATACGAATCATTAGGCTCTAGCAGGAAATCTGTTCATTCTGGCTTCAAAACCGATTATAATGGCGTGGGTAGTGGAATGTGCGCCTCTGCCGTCACTGTTCATGGTTATAAATGCCAGGAATTTGAGGTAAATTAACAATCGTTCAATTTTTCTCCCTCTATTTTACCGATCGAGCTGGTTGAATCAGAAAGCCATATCCTAATCTACAATCCGTAAAATTTTATGTGTTTCTGTTTTCTCAGGTAACAACTGATGATGGATACATACTTAGCGTACAAAGAATACCAGAAGGCCGTGTAGGAGGAGATGGTGGGCCGAAGACGAACAGGCAGCCAGTACTGTTGCAGCACGGCGTTCTTGTGGTAAGCATCTCTGGGCTTTAGCTCTAACTGTTTCACGCGTGATTATAAAATACAGTCCTTTTCCTCTCTCTAATTGGGGAAATAGGGCAAAAGATTATAATGCGTAGAATCAAACTCGAGAAATCATCAGAGTTATTATAATTTATCAATTATAAAATTCAGTCATTTTCGACCAAATATAATATTTGATCAACTCAACATAAAGATATACTCACATCCTTTAAAACAAAAGAATGTCATCTATTTTCTTTTTAATTTTTTTTTAAAAATAACTTTTTTTCTTTTTTGGCGATCTTTAATTTTAACTTTAACTTTTCACATTACATGTTTAAGACCACAAATACATTTAACATAATTTTAATTTAGAAATACAAGATTAAAAAATCTTTTTTTAAAAAAAATTTCATTTCTAGTCAAACTAGATCATCTTTTTTAAAAACGGAGGAAATATTTTAATATAAAAACAAAAATTTAAATAGCTTAATAAAATAATTGATAGTTGATACATGGAAACTTACAAATTTCAATAGTTTTAAATCATTAACTCTTAATAATTGCTTAGGTTGCCTCATGTCTAGAAGTTGATTTAGAGAATTTTAAATTGAACGCATTATATTTTTAATCGTTAGTAGGTCTCATTCGAATACACTATTCGTTGCATCCGCCCTCGCTTATGTCTGGAAATAGTCTAAGGTAATTATACTTCCTTTATTCGGATTTACAAAAATGTTATGCAATTTTTAATACCACAAATTTATTAAAAAAATATATAGCCATAAATTTAATGTAATATTTTTAATCATAATTTATATTCTGTTTTGTGTCTATTCAAACTAATTCTATTTTCCTAATTACTTATTTATTTTTGAATTGATATAACTATTAAGAAAATCATAATTGACATTAATTTTGTCATTTTACCCTATTAAATATGAAATGAATGAATTAAAAAATTATTTTTCAAAAAAAAAATTCTATCTTTTTATAATTAATTAAGAATGTAATAAATAAATAAAATTTATCACTTTCTAAAATTTATTAAAATAAAAAAATAATTAAAAAAATAGACAAATAATTAGAAACAGAGCATCGTATACTTTCACGAGCCTTCACTAGCTGATGGTGTTTGGGAAATGGAATCTTTCTCGTGAACATGAGTTTATCGTCTTTCGTAGTTATTGTCCCCACTTCTGATCCAAGAAACAGAAATTGGGATCTTTTTACTATGTATCCAGTGTACACAGTACACATAAATAACACAAAAAGCAAGTGGATAAAATTATTTCCTTATTTAATTAAAAATTTAAATTCAAATTCTGAGTATAGAAAAATTATTAATAAGGAAAGCTTTCTCATTTGAGGCCCTATATAATGCGAATTAATAGAATATCATTACGGGTATTAGATATCTAATAAAAAATTAAAACAAATTCATTCTAGTTATGAGCCAGAAATTAAGCATGTTCGAGAGTTCAATATGCTTTTACTTTGACAAGAAACTACCTAATTACACATACAGAATAAGTATATCCCAGAAGGTAATTTTGAAGAACTCATTAGAAGGCATGTAATTAGGTCATAAACTAGTGGGATTTGTATGTTTGCCCTTTACTTTGACGCATGTACTTACCTTAAAGAAATTGATTAAATATATATAAAACTCAATTATCATGGTTATAAAATCCAAAATTCGAAAATCCTCGTTTGAAGCCAGTATGCAAAAAGGCCTGTAATTTCCATAATCCCATTCTCTTCAGATTGCATAAAATTTTGAAATGTAAGTAGCTTTTGCACGTAGAGAAGTTCAAGATTCCAAATCTTGCTCACATTACGTAAATGTGGCATAATTTAATTAGTCAACCACAGACTCAGAGGTTGGCTGTTTCTGTAGGCTAGTGCGCTCACGAGAAGGTAAATTACAAAACACAGAATTGCCATTTGTATGTTTCTTCGAATAGGTATATGCAATGACCATTAATTTGCTCTGTGTACTACTACTGTGAATGCTTGTGAATTTGCACCATTAGAGGCGAATTCAGAATTTTTAAGTTTATGTGTTCTTACTTTCTACTATGACTCAAGTTAGTAGTACTGTAATAATTGAATTCACATTCAAATCATGTTAATTAATCGAATTCTTAATATATATATATAAAGAATTTGACCAAAAGCTAGTATCCATGAGGTTTATGAATACTCAACAACTGTTATTCTTCCGTTTAAATCTGTTTGGTACTCTATATTAACATTCTACCATGAACATCACTTATTTTGAGCCATCACTGAAATCTATACAAATTGTTCGATGCAAGGATATATTCGATATTTAGTTAGATTATGTGTCAAAAATCTTTCTTTCTATGTCTCCAATCAAATTACTACCCAGAATAAGTTGATGAACATTTCAATCTTAATTCACTGCAACTGTGGATGAAGGAAGTAAAATATGGTCACTATTTTGGCAGGATGGAGTAACATGGCTGCAGAATTCACCAGCACAATCACCGGCGATGATCTTGGCAGATAATGGCTTTGATGTTTGGATTTCCAATATCAGGGGAACCAGATATAGCCGTCGCCATGTCACTCTTGATCCTGATAGTGCGGTATCTCCTTCAGTTCCCCCTTAATGAGCTATACATTTTTCATAATGCTAGCAAAACTGATAAAAAGAATTTGGGTAAAGGGAGGAATGATGTCAAGCTACTTAAATAGCTCTAAATCTTTAAAGGTTTTATTCATTCTGGTTTACAGGACTACTGGAATTGGACATGGGATGATCTTGTCGCACAAGACTTGCCTGCTCTTGTTGACCTTGTCTTTAAACAAACTGGGCGGAAAATTCACTATATAGGCCATTCAATGGTAAATTTGGAAAGAGCACAGAACATTAGTCTCTATTGTAGGTGGCAAAACATTTATTATCCTTCCAGTACATGATATAATGACCTTTTAATCTGTCTATTTTCTGAACTAACAGGGCACCTTGATAGCGTTGGCGTCCTTTTCAGAAGGGAAACAAATAGACAAGGTAAAATCAGCAGCCTTGCTCAGCCCAGTTGCTTATTTGAGCCATATGACCACTGCACTCGGTGATGTTGCTGCTAGAGCTTTTGTTAGCGAGGTCAGGGCAAAATCTGGCTTCACTTCTTTTCTTTACATTTTGCAAAGCTTAGGAGCAATGCATACATTGTGATTTTTTGATGTTTATGGTTCCCAATGTCAACAGATCACTACAATATTTGGTCTTGCAGAATTTAATCCAAGAGGGTAAAAATTTGCTTCACCTTACTTACAACTAGTGTTCTGAATTTGCCCTTCTTGTCCCCCCACCCCCTTTCCTTCTTTTGTCACATTTACCTCAATTTTTGATGCTTTGTGGTAGTGAGCCTGTGTCCGATTTTCTCAAGGTCTTATGTGCTCAAGCTGGGGTGGACTGTTATGACTTGATAACTGCACTTACTGGTACTAATCTTCCCTAAGAGTAAACATTTTCATCATTTACAGATGGAGTCATTTGTAATGATCACAAGTTCCAAGCTAAATTACTTTCCTCTATGAATATAGGAAAGAACTGCTGTCTAAATGCTTCCACGGTCAATCATTTCTTGAAGAACGAGCCTCAGTCTACATCAACTAAGAACCTCGTGCATTTGTCTCAGAGTAAGTTTGTTTCTTCTAAGTACTATTAACGAATTCATCAATCAACTATACCTCAGTCCTAAACAAGTTAGGATTGGCTCCAATAATCAACCAACCAACCAAAAATATCAAATGACTATGTAACTGTTTGAAATTCATGCAGCTGTTAGAGATGGTGTCTTGTCGAAATATGACTATGGGAGCAACGACTTCAATCAGGCGCACTACGGTGAAACCAAGCCTCCAAGGTACAATTTGACAAATATCCCTCATGATTTCCCCCTGTTTCTCAGCTATGGAGGCCAAGATGCACTGTCTGATGTTCAAGATGTTGAGACATTACTTGATAATCTCAAGTACCACGATGTAGAGAAGCTACATGTTCAGTATATCAAAGATTACGCTCATGCAGACTTCATCATTGGGATTACTGCTAAGGATATCGTCTACAACCAGATTATCTCCTTTTTCAGAAACCAAGGATGAACACCTTTGGGATTGAAATAAGCTAGTAATATATCGGATTTTGTTTTACAAAAAACTTAGCAAAATACATTGTATCCGCATTCAAAATCTAATCATAATTGAAATGGTACGTGTGACCACTGTATATGTATATATTTTTTCAAAGAAACTTTGAAAGTTGGCATCAACTTTTGTTGTATATCGCAAGAAATTACGCTGCACATGGTTTCCTTTGTCTTCTAACCCTCTGTTTGGGTGGTTGAAAATTGTTAGTGTTGTTTCTTAATGTATTATGAAGAAAAAAGTTTCACAATGTATTATTTTATTTTATTTTGAAATAAAATTAAACATATTTGTGAACTATATAAATAATAGTAGGAGACAAGTAACCATCAAAATAAAGATTGTGATTCTATTGCTGGCTGCCTCTTGCTGCCCGTTCTGAATCTGCACAGATTTTGCCTCTGACAAAAGTAAGAGTATTTTTCCCTCCATGATTGCTGCAAATCTTTTAGTTTTAGTTGATTTCATTTTCAGTTACTCAGTTTTCATTCACCATTCATATATCAAGCTCTTGCTCCAGCTTATTGGACGCATGAAAATATGAAAAACTTTTATAGTACGATATCTCCGACTTTAAGCTCTGCGATTCTTCAACATTTATGTTTACCATGAATAACCTAGTTAAGATATATGCACTTTAGCTTTGGTAATTGTCATAAAATGAGGGAGATGAAAGGGGGAGTGGGTAAAGTTACATAGACCTGAGGATTGAGAATCAGAAATCATTTGAGAAAGTAGGTCTTACTCTGAGTTTAGACGGGGAAAATAATGGAAATTGGGGTTATAATTGGATATGTGAACCTCTGTATAACTGCTATGGATGATAGAGAATAGGGATACTTGCTGCCTATGATGATTTTGGTTTGGGGGTTTTGCAGAACAACTCCTGGTTTTACAAGTAGCTGCTATAAGATGTGTAGTTAATGTGATAATATGGTTCATAATTTGAAGGCCATAGTAGCTCATATATGTGGCTAAGGGCTACGTTGTTCGGACTCTTCAAAAATGTCAAGGGTGCGTGGGATTCACCAAAAGTAGTGTATTTTGAAGAATCCAACACAGGTACGGCATAGAAAGTGAAGAGTCCGCGTAACTTAGGCCGAGGGATCTGTTTTCCAGTTATCTTTCCGTTCAGTATATTGATTATTTTATTTCTTAGTAACTTTCTATTATCTTGTAGGTATCTCCATACAAGGAATTTAAGCACAACTGAGCTTGAGGGATATCAATAATTTACCTTTTAAGTTCTTATTCATATTAGCTGTGACCGGGGAAGTTCTGCGGAAATCCAGAAGAATTTTATTTCCCTGATTTTGTTGAAGCTTTCTTAAGGTAATTGAAAAGATCCATTAACCATAAAATATTCCATTTTTTTTATAATGTAATTAGTAAGCACAACTATGACAAGGTTTTATTGCATTACATTGTTTTTTTATAATTGTAACTCAAATTTATTTATCACATTAACATGAATTTTGAAGTTAGCCTTTCTACAAATTTGGATTATACTGTGGAATCACAGGAGAAAAACAATGTTATTGCCATGTGCAGAATCGATTTTGTGTTCCTGTAAAATCCTCAAGTGCTACCATTCAGTTCTGTCAAGTTTACTTTAGGTGCTAAAGATGCCTTTTCCCTCAAATGTTTATTATTCATTTAGGATTTTCATCTGCTCTAGTGAGGAATGACATTTAGACAAAGCCTGTCTTTAATTTCATCTACTATTGGATTTATATGTGGAGACCCTTGCATCAAAATGAGGAAACTGAGCATTAGTAATGCAATTCGGAATGTGCATTCCTTCATAGAATTTTCCGGTGTTGGAAGAGGGGTGGGGATGGGGAGGCGTCTAGTATGTAAAGATTGTTAAAGGAAAGGAAAAAAAAAAAGAATTCCTCCAATTTTAAGGGTGTAGATAATCTGTCAAAATTTTAAAAGTTCCCTCTTAGTATTTTGATATTTTCTTTTTAAATTTCAATGTCAAACTTCTTTCATATAGTTCTCATGTAGACACTAGACACTTGTCTGTTATTGGGGAGCCAATGTGTTGTCTGTTTTGGAACAGAATACATAGCTGCTCAGGCTGGGTGCTTCTTGTTATAGTCTGCTTCTATGATCCTTTTCTGTTTCGGAGCATAAGTTTCTAATTGATGGTCAAATCGAAGAAATTAATGTGCCTGCATGCAGTATTGAGATTCTGTACTTGAAAAGAGATATAGAGGATACAACACCAAGAAGAAGGAATCTTTGAAGAAGCAGTAAGGAGCTTTTGAATATTTCATCTTCAAAAAATTGTTTATGGTTGAAGTTCATAATCGACTCAGGTAACTTGCAAACTGAACAATACTAAGGAGTAAGGACAGATTTCTATTCTGGAAAGTTTTCATCGATGGCACAAGATTATATCACATCATTGTCATTCTTGTGTTATATTGTGTTCGCTTTATATGAACTACGTTTCTCTGAATTTGTACCAAAATGATGTATATATAAATGATTTCTTATGTGTGTCAAATAATTCATAATAACATAGCTCTCACTCTCTTCGGGTGTCTCTTCCTATAAAATATGTGAAAGAATGGAAACTGCTAAAAGTGAAAGAAAAATAGAGAAGGATAGATCAAAGGAATCTGGAAAAGAATATTTCACAGAAACTGACTGGTATCTGTTTTCTCCGGAGAGATTCAGTGCTTTTTGCCACTTTTTGACTTCACCAGATGAGGGAAAACAGTCAAAATGTTGTGGGCTCTCAAGTCTTGCCTGGTTAAGATTCCCACCACCGGAGATACCTGAAAAAGGAGCATGGCATAATGTTAGTAATGCTTTTATCACTTCTACGATATGACTTTTTCTGTGTATCGTTAGACTATGATAGGAGGGAGATATCTGCATAAGATAAATAACTGAAATTTGCTTATAATCTCACCCCTGCTGCTTGATATTTCGGTACTATGAGCATGTGGCGAAGCCCCACTTGCCTGAAGAGCACCATTGCTTTAGCCACTGACATGCTTTCTACCACAGTATAGGGGGTTGTATTGGTCAAGGGATGCAAGTCAACATACATCTCCATTTCACTCTTTGTAACTGCCACATCTTCAATCTTACCCCATCTCTCAGCTAAATCAATCCAGGAGAATTTCTCTCTCACTTCCCACTCCTCTGTCCTCCGTCTTTCATGAAGGAACAACTTTTTCTTGAGAACCAAAAGTAGATGAGTTCTTAGGACAATACCGTGCAATTCAGTTGCCCCAATTGGCAGCCCCACTGGTGGTACCACCCCTTCATCTACTACAGGGAATCCGTTATGTGTGGTGTTCTTCAGGACCTCCACGATACGTCCCACCTTCTCAATTCCACGAAGCGTAACTACTGGTGGCTTTACATCAGCAAGTTCACCAACAGTGATATTTCTCATCCATGGCTCAGGGTTGGCATCCAAGAAAGGTAGACCTTTCAGCTCCAATATTATTTCATAAATACTTAGGTTGAAGCAGTCTCCTACACTTTTTGATATAAGAAGAACAAGCATTGTTATTGGCAGAAGGAGAAGATTGTTTGTCAGCTCAAGAAATATGACGCAAAGAGAAACAGTCATTCTCATTGAACCAGCCATAAGGGAAGCTGCTCCGAGAACGGCATACAACCCTGGATCAATTTTTGTATATGATCCCATGGCAATGGCAAGCAAACGACCATAAGCTGAACCCATGAGGATGATTGGAAGGAAGAGACCAGATGGCACAGCAATCCCAAAAGTGATGAGTCCCAAGATGCAATACAGTACAAAGTAGATAATAAGAGATGAAACTTGGAATTCACCGGGAGTATTTATGGAAAAAATATTTCGTACTGCATCATCATTGGTTGTAAGGAGAAGAGTAGCGAGATCATTGTAATAGCCGTTTGGACAGTTGAATTGCTTGAAGTTTCCTGTCCCTCCAGTGCCAGGACAGGACCCTTGAATTGATGGATCACAAGGCTTGCATTTGGCCAAAAAAGGAAGTCCATACATGCTAATGGAGGTGAAAAGGGAGACGCTCAGAGCGAGAAGAAGCTTATGTAGTTTTCCCTTCCTGCAAGATATAAAATGATCAATGATTGGAAGTCTGGAATTTGCATCTAGAGTGCAATTAAATGTGATAAGAAGACCGTGTTTGAATAGAATTCGAACTTAAAAAGATGCAGGGGCTGCTGGATCAAAGTCTCGAGATGATTCTAGTCCCAGTAAGTTCACTTTTTGTGGATATGCATTGCTTTTCAAAACCCCAAGAACCGAGAGACTGTTTGATGATCTAGTTAGGAATGTGGGAGAGTTGATACTTACTCGTTGATGAGATTGTAGAGTCTGAGAACTTTGTGGAGGACATAATTATAAAGGCTTCCCAAAAGTCCACCTATGATTCCAATCAGTGCAATAGGAATGATGTCCACAGGATGGTACGTAACACTGACACCACTCACATCAAACATGATAAGCCCTCCTTTTCCAAAGAGTCCACATTTGCCAGATTTGCAGTATTCTATAAAGGCCCTAAGTATCACCACCACAACTGCTGTGCTAAAGAAAGTTCTCCAGAGAAGTGCACTTCTCCACCATGTTGCCACTTCCTCTAAAGCAAATAGGACACCACCAACTGGAGAACGGAAAGCAGCACACACACCTGATGATGATCCAGACGTGATGAGATCTCGCCTGTCCCGATCGTTGTTGAAGTAACGGAGCCAACGCCATTTGAGTCGGTAATTATCTGGACCACCTTGACCTAGTAAGGAAGCAAAGCAAGCGCCAATGTGAACCAATGGCCCTTCTTTCCCAAGGTCTAAGCTTGCAGAAACTGCTGCTATGCTTCCAATGATCTGTGAGCCAAGAGATTATAGATTGTTTAGATAAATAAAATTTAAAGAGAAATTGGTAAGTAGCATAATTGACTTTTAATGAACACTTTTACAAATCAATCAAAGGGAAAGAAAACATGTCAAATCTCTCAAAATTTTGAATCTTTTAGTATGGAGATTTTGCATATTTGTTTTTAAGTATATGTAATTTTCTCAGTTCCATTCATTTTCATGAAGGGAAAATTTGTGTTACTCAACAAATAGCAAATTCAATTGAGAGATATAAACTTGAGTCTCATGGAAGCTCTTGTATTTTAATGCCACATGAGAAACAAGACAGTGACTCTAGTAAAGGATTGAACTACTGGATGTTTGGAAGTAGATTAGATACCCTGACGGATGTTCCTTGTTGGATGAGCGCAGTCGATTCTAAACTTTTCTTTTCATTTTATCTGATTACTTAAAGATAGAGATCAAGCTATCTATATGTAGGCTAAAAAGATGTTATTTGCTGTAATCCTATTTATTTATACATCTAGTTCAATAAGATCTCAATAGTATGTTGATGGCATGATAATCTGTCTGCAACCTGAATTGCCAACAATAACATCATACTCAGCGTATACACAGACCTTACCCCTACCTTGTAAGGTAGAGAGACTGTTTCTGAAAGACGCTCACAGCATCACTGATAAAATTGGTTGTGTGACGCACCTTGACAAAAAGTGTGGTTGCTCCAAACATGTTGGGAGTATCTACACCGTTAAGATAGGCTTTGATTTCAGGAATTCCAGGCCCTGCAGCAGTAGGCGCGAAGCACACACAGAGAAGGGCGGCTATCAGAGTGAGCACAAAATTAGCACCCGCAAAATATGCAAATCCCATAAGGTACCTGTAAACATTATTTGTTACAATCTCAATTATGAATTTACCATACTCAATTCAATTGAGGTGATCTTTGATCTTGTCACTAGTCACTAGCTAGTGGGATGGAATTGTTGAAGCATTAGAACAATTAACATCACTAACCTTCTGTTATCGATATAGTCCACTACAGCACGAAGTTTGTAGCCAGCAATATTTTCAATTGCAAGATTGATAAGTGTTGCTGTAACTCCTGTAAGAAGCCCAACCAAAAATGCCAGTGACCATTTCAAGAATACATATTGTAATACTTGAACTCTGGATCTCCTTCTCCAGTCATGCTTGAAGAGATCATTCTCGTTGATCCTAAAACAGACACACTCAATTAGGACATTCAATTCATGTTGGCCAAGGTAATGCATAAAGTAAAGAAAATCTAAATTTTGATCTATAAAGATAGGATTATTAATTGTTCTTACTCATAGTCTAAACTTTCGATATGTGAGACTTTAGCTCCAACCAAAGCAAATGGACTGGATGACAGGGTCCTGTTTCTTTTGAGTAGAGGCTGTCGCAATGAATTGCTCTCTGGATCTCTTTCTTCTTCATTGAGTTGTCCATTGATGTCATTTGTTGTTGCTTCCTCTACTAATCTTGGTTCTTCCATAATAGATAATAAATTGCCAAAAAAAAATCTAGAGCTCCTCCACTGGTTGGTTCAGAAGAAGATACCAAGTTGTTTTATCCTGTTTTTTTTGGGGATTCAAAGGCAGGGAAGAGCAAGAATCATATTGGTTGTTTTCACATGTACGTTTGTCTTCTTCTTGAACATGAGTTGATAGATTATAGGCACAACTTGGGTGTTTTTAAAAAATCAGATAATGGTTAATCCACTTGGAACATGATATAGGTATTATTGGTAGTATTATTTTTTAAGAAAGAAGTATTGAAAACAATTTCACGTAAATTATTAGGTTTGTCCTCGAACTATTGACACTTATAAATACATCAATGCTTGACTAACTAAACATAGATACAATCCCGATCTGCAAGTGATTCCTACCTCTGGTAAAGAGCATGAGACTCTTAAATATACCCTTGAACTATCGTAAATGGTATGCAAATACCCTTAGTCCTACTTTAGAGATATTGGTGCCCATGTCATCCAAAAAACTAGAGTGTATACGCCCTTTGCTCTAACAGAAGGCTAAACAGGGACACGTGGTGCGATCTTACTTATCGATCAGATGTCGGGTCGGTGGATGAGATTATCACACGTGTATGTCCATTAATATAAAGGGTACATATGCTTTAATTTTTGGATAGCATGGGCACCAATGTCTCTAAAGATATCCGTATATCATTTACGATAGTTTGGAGGTGAACATTTCTAAACTTACAAGAATTTATGAACATAATCAAATAAAAATATTTTTTTTAAGATATTCAATAGTACAAAGATAAAAGTAATAATACTAGATTATTATTTAATTTTTAGGAAGAAATAATTGTGGGTGAAAAGTGTAAAGAGGGTAACTTTTTTTAATTACTGTAGTTGGTCCATGGGATTTTATTTTTTTAAAAAAAAAAAAGGAGACGTGGAATGTTGCTAATCCTTGATTACAAACATCCTTCATTTGGGGCCCTGAACTGAAGTTAGGTAATGTAATGATGTCTGTTCTAATAATATCCCATCACATTGAAAACGATAAACTATTTTTTACACTTTGAGTTATTATCATCTATAAGAAAGTAAAATTATTTTATGTGAATGATGGAGTACGTAACATAGTTATATTTGTCATTTTATTAATCTTGGGTTATTAGGA